TGTGTTTTTCAGTTTTCTTCTTGTGGTTGGTTTCAAGTTTCGTAGTGTTATGGTCAGAGAAGATGCTTGATATGATTTCAATATTCGTAAATTTATTGAGACTTGTTTTGTGTCCTAACATGGTCTATCCTAGAAAATGTTCCATGTACACTTGAAAAGGATTTATATTCTGCTGCTTTGGGGTGAAATGCTCTGAAGATATCAATTAAGTCCATTTGATCTAGTATGTTACTTAAGGCCACCATCTCCTTGTTGATTTTCTGTCTGGAAGATTTATTCATTGATGTCAATGGGGTGTTAAAATCCCCTACTATCACTGTATTACTGTCAATCTCTCCCTTTATGTCCATCAAGATTTGCTTTACATATTTAGGTGCTCGTATTTTGGGTAGATAAATGTTTACAAGGATTATATCCTCTTGTTGGATTGCTCATTATGTATTGTCCTTCTTTGTCTCTCACTATAGTCTTGATTTTAAAGTTTATTTTGTCAGATGTAAGTATTGCTACCCTAGTTTTTTCCCCTTCCATTTGGATGAAATATCTTTTTTCATCCCTTCACTTTTAGTCTGTGTGTATCTTTCACTCTGAAGTGAGTCTCTTGAAGACAGCATATACGTGGGTCATGTTTGCTTATCCATTCAGCTGCCTTATGTCCTTTTTTAAAAAAATCTTCACCCGAGGATATTTTTCCCATTGCTCTTCAGAGAAAGTGGGAAGGGGGGGAGAGGGGGAGAGAGAGAGAGAGAAAGATGTAAGAGAGAGACACTGATTGGCTGCCTCCTACATAAGCCTCGAGTGGGGCCAGGGATCAAGCCTTGACAGGAATTGAACCCGAGACCCTTCAGTCTGAGGGCCAACACTCTAACCATTGAACCAAACTGGCTAGGGCTACCTTATGCCTTTTGATTGGAGCATTTAAACCATTTACATTTAAAGTGATTATTGATAGGTAAGTATTTTTTGCCATTTTATTTTTTAGATATGTTCCTATGGTTTTTCTTTTTTACTTCTNTGATTTCTGGATATTTATTTTGTATCCTTCTTCTTCATTGAATTCATTTATCAGTTCTAGTAGTTTTTTGGTGGAATCTTTAGGGTTCTCCATATACGGTATCATATCATCTGCAAATAATGACAGTTTTACTTCTTCCTTTCCAATTTGGATGCCTTTTATTTCTTCTTGTCTGATTGCTGTGGCTACAACTTCAACTTCCCCTCCTCCTCCCCCCCTCCTCCTCCTCCTCCTCTTCCTCCTCCTCCTCCTTCTTCTTCTTCTTCTTCTTCAAGCAGGCCCTTTAACATTTCTTGTAATACTAGTTCAGTGGTTACAAACTCCTTTGGCTTTTTCTTGTCTAGAAAGCACTTTATTTCTCCTTCAATTTTAAATCATAGCCTTGTTGGGTAAAGTAGCCTTGGTTGTAGGTCCTTACTTTTTATCACTTTGAATATTTCATGTCAATCCCTTCTGGCCTCAAATGTTTCTGTTGAGAAATCAGCTGACAGTCTTATGGGAGCTCCCTTGTAGATAACTGACTGCCTTTCTCTTGCAGGTTTTTAATTTTTTTTTTTTTTAATATATCTTTATTGATTTCAGAGAGAGGAAAGGAGAAGGAGAGAGAGAGATAGAAACATCAATGATGAGAGAGTCATTGATCGAGCCCACAACCCAGGCATGTGCCCTGACTGGGAATCGAACCCTGCTCGCCTGGATCCTAGGTCAACGCTCAACCGCTGAGCCACGCCCGGCCAGGCTCTCTTGCAGGTTTTAAGATTCTTTCTTTGTCTTTAACTTTTTCCATTTTAATTATGATGTAACTTGGTGTGGGCCTCTTTGGATTCATCTTGTTTAGAACTCTCTGCACTTCGTGGACTTGTGTGTCTTTTTCTTTCACCAGGTTAGAGAAGTTTTCAGTCACTATTTTTTCAAATAGGTTCTCGATTCCTTGCTCTCTTTCTTCTCCTTGTGGTACCCCTATGACATGGATGTTGTTACGCATCATTTTTTCTTAAAAGTTCCTTAAAGTATCCTCATTTTTTCAAATTCTTTTTCTGCTCTGATTGGGTGTTTTTTCTAGCTTGTCTTCCAAATAACTGATTTGATCTTCTGCTTCATTGAACCTAGTGTTTATTCCTTCCAGTGTATTCTTTATTTCAGATATTGTATTCTTCATTTCTGACTGGCCCTTTTTTATGGCTTCTTTGTCCTTTTCCATGTTGTTGAGCATCCTTATAATCATTACTCTGCACTCTATATCTGATAAATTGCTTACCTCCATTTCACTTAGCTTTTCTTCTGGAGAATTCTCTTGTTCTTTCATTTTGGGTCTGTTTCTTTGTCTCACCATTATGGCTACTTCTTTGTGTTTTTTCCTATGTATTAGGTAGATCTGCTACAACTCCCAGTCTTGTTATGGTGGCCTTATGTAGTAAGTGACCTGTGGGACTCAGGGGCACAGTGTCCCTGATCATCTGAGCTGGATGCTCTAAGAGTGTTCCTTGTGCCCATAAGTGGGCCTCCTGTTGTCATTGAGTCTTAATTGCTATTGGTCCATTCATTCATGGGATTGACACTCAGGCTGGCTGACAATGAGGCTCCGCCCCCAACACAGTGTGCAAGCTGCTGTACAGGTGCTTATCACACAAAACAGAATTCACCTTAGCAGGGTTTGGTGCTTGCCAAGATCTCCCTGTAGATATGCTACTTGTGAAGCTTATTGGATCCTGATCTATTGTTGTCTGAAGCTGGCCACTGGGTGTACTGTTTCTGAGCCTCTTCAGAGGTACTCTGGTGCAGGCTAATGTCACATGCTGTCTGTGACTGGCCCTGGGCAACATGTTTGGAGCTATCAGCAATCCTGCAGCAAGCTTTCTTGAACAAAGGATTTTTCAATTGTTTTAAACAATAGTTTGAAAATCAATTGTTTGGCTTCTAGTTAAAGTTACATGAAATACTAGATGACCTAAAAAGCTGGCTCCAAACATCTGGGAAATTTAGATGAAATGTAAAAAGTGTTCCTTTAAATGCAGAGTAGCATGTGTAAGAACGTAAGGGAAATAATACCAGAAATAGAGAAAAACTGAAAAAGCAGAAGAGTGAGAGTGTGAGCAAGTGTGGGTGAGATGGGGGTGTATGATGGGAAAGAGATGGGGAGGACAAGTGAACAATGTGTCCTGATAATCTGGGAGCTTGGGTTTTAATGCAGGATAGGAGTATGAGACAATTGAAGGATGTGCTTCCTTTTCAAGCACATATGAAATAGCTACAATGATTGATCACACACTAAGCCACAAAACAAACCCCAGCAAACACTAAAGAGTTGATATATAGACTATGTTTCTTACCCCAATGCATTTCAATTAGTGATAATAATAACATAACCAAAAGCTACTGGTATGTTGTAAATTTAAAAACACACTTGTAAATAAATTTTGTGTTAAAGAAGAAATCATATTTGAAATTTGAAAGTATTTAGAATGGAATGAGAGGTAAATATCTACACTCATGAGAAACAGTTAAAACAGTATTTTGAGAGAAACATTATAGCTTTAAATGCTTATACTAAAGACGAAGGAGGAGGAAGAAGACTGAGAAGAAGAAAGATGATAACCAATGAGTTCAACATTCAATTCAAGGGGCCCTGGCTGGGTAGCTCAGTTGATTAGAGCATTGTCCCAGTATGCCAAGGTTTCAGGTTCGATACCCAGTCAGGACACATACAAGAAGCAATCAATGAATGCATACATAAGTGGAACAACAAATTGATCAATCTCTCTCCCTTTCTCTCTCTCTCTAAAATTAATAAATAAACTAATGAATTAATTTAAAAACATTTAATTCAAGGAATTAGAAAAATTAAATAGAATAATATAGAAAACACACAGAAGGTAGAAATATATAAATATAATGATAAGAGCAGAAAATTGATACCATAGAAACCAAAGAAATAATAGAATAAACAAACCAAAAGCTGGTTTTCTAAAAAGACTAGTAAAATGGGCAAATGTTAGGGAAAAGTTGATCCAGAAAAAAAAAGAGAAAAGGTATCAATAATATAAAGAATGAAGACAAGGACATAACTACAGAGGCCGAAGAGATTTTTTAAACATTATATGAAAAATGTTTATAATAATAAATTTGAAAATTTATATAAATGAACAATTTCCCAGAAAAAAATATAATTCACTCAGATTCAAGAAAAAATAAAAACCCTGAATATTCCCCTAAAAAAGATACGTTTAAATCTTAACTCCCAGTGCTTCAGAATGTAATTTTATTTGGAAAATTGGTCTTTGAGGATGTAATTACTTAAGATGAGGTCATATAGGAGTAGGGTGGGCCCCTAATCCAATATGACTGGTGTCCTTACAAGAAAACAGCCACCAGAAGACACAGAGACGCAGGGGGAGAAGGCCACATGAAGGTGGAGGCACAGATTGGAGTGATGCAGTACAAATCAAGGGAAAAAGGGGTCTCCAGCCATCAGCAGAAGATAGGAAAGAGGCATGGAAGAAATTCTTCCTCGGGGCCTCCCAAAAGAACCCATCCTGCTGACACCTTGATTTCAGGCTTCTGGCCTCCACAACTGTGAGAGAATAAATTTCTGTAGTTTCGAACTGCCCAGTTTGTAGTTCTTTGTTATGGCAGCCCTTGGAAACAAACAACCAATAACCACTAGAGTGACTGAAATAATAGTTTAAAATCTACATGTGCACTCATGTGAATGCACGTGCGTGTGCATACACACACACACACACACACACACAGAGTGATCCGTTTCAGTCTCTATCACATGGACAAGTAATCTGAGGCCCTGAGAGGTTTACTGTACAGATTCCTTAGCAGCTTGGTGGTAGTGATGGGTGGGCAGGGTGGTGATGAGTGGGATGGGCATTCAGAGTAAGTGTGTAGGTTTCAAGCACTCTAGTGACAACCCCATGCTCTGAATTGGGACAGTCGGCCTCCGTGCACTTTTCACAGGCTTGTCTTTTCTTCCCAGGTGCATGAAGGTGATGTAAAATTAATTCTCTATCCCAATGAGAATGTCTTCCGAATTCTCTTTCCTGATGGATCAGGCCAGATATAGTATCCACTGAAGCACAAGGACACCTGTATTGACACATATAGCACCTAAAAAGTCTGGGGTTCAGGGCTGGGGCATGGTTTTACTAAGGCCTGTACCCTCTGTAGAGCTCTGCTTTCCAAGGGGATCCCAACCGACTGCTTGTGCCTTAACCAGCTTCCAGTTATCCATCAGGAAACCTGGCTATGCTCATCCTCAGTGCGAAAGAGAGCACATTCACATTTATCATTCTGGAAGACAGTGAAGGCAGTGAAGAAACGTGTATCCGGGCCCTTATCAACAACAACGGCCATGTCACCTTCTATGATGAAAACAGAGAAATCTGGTAAGCTTGGGTCACGAGTCCCAAACTTTTCCCCGTGAAGAGCAGTGTGGTTAAGGCTAGACTCATTCATCTCTCTCTCTCTCTCTCTTTCTCTCTCTCTCTCTCTCGCTCTCTCTCTCTCTCTCTTTGTGAATTCATTCATTTGACTCACACATAAGATAGGTCCCTGACCTCAGAGAAGGAGCACTGTCCTTGTCCCACCAATGCTTTCCCCATGGCTGAAATGGCAGTCACAGACTCAGTGCAACCACTTCTATTGGCTTCATCTCCTTTACACCTCTTGAAAGTCAAACCTCATGAGAATTATTCTAGAAAAACCCAGAGCCCCTCTGTTCTGGCCTCAGAGAGGAGGGTATGGTGAGCGCTCTGGAGACATATGTATTATATTCAAAAATATAACTTCCAAATATTTCATTGTAACTGAACTTAGTTCTTAAGTTCCCATTTCTGGTAAAGGTGGAAAACTTCATCTTATCAATTCAAGGTAATTCAGTCACTTCAAAATTTTTGCCCATCTCTTTGGGGTAAGGACTCTTGTCTTTTCAGAATTTCCTGCTCCCCTTGCATTGTAAGTGGACAGGTAGTGAGAAATGCATATTATCTTGGATCAATGTTATACTTTCTTTCTCACTGATAGTCAAAGCCAAACTTTTTTCTTTTTAATTCCAAAAAAAGAAAAAGGATTTTCATACTCTAGGCCTTGGTTTTTAAGAATATTTTCTCAGCTATGGGTTTTTTCAACACCATTTCTAGCTGACTACTGTGTTCTCAGAAGTGTCTACCCTCCCTGGATGGCCCTTTGTATAAAAAATGATGTCTGAAAGGTGGAAGAAGGTACTGGATACAAGAAGCACCAAGTAGTGGAGCAAGAAACCCAATTAATTATCCCAATGGCAACTGGCTACATGCATGTCTCCCTAGTGACATTTATTTTTAGGGCGAGGGAAGACTTTGGGGAAGTCTACTTTCATTTTCTTGATGAGAAAACTGAGGCTCAGAGAAGCTGATAAGTCATTTGCCCTGAACCATACACAAAATTATAGGCGAGAAGTCTTATCGCATTTTGACTCAGCCTGAAATTAAGCATTTTTTTAAAATTATCAAATAAGGTTTGCAAGAGAAACCACATCTTATCCCTGACTCTCAGCCCATCAAAATTCAGGGGGAAAAATGGTGCTCAGAGCTAGGTAAGGGCTGCCCCGCCTGCTCCAGATTCTGATTCTGTCAGTCTGGGGTGGGGCTGGGGGTCTGCACTCTTTAAAAGCTTCCCAGGTGGTTGTGCAGGTCAGCAGGGTGTGAGACCCCAGGCCAGCATGCCCTCCACTGAGCCTTCAAGGCTTCAGAAAGCAGCCAAAGCCCATGAACTGGCAGCAACTGCCCACCATTCCCCTGTCTGCCAGGCACGGTCCCCCCAAAACACTGTAAGACAAATATAGGGGACCTGAAGGAAATACTTCCAAATCATTAAAATCAACAGGAGCCACCTACGGCCCTCCCTTTGGGTCAGGAGTGGATGGCCTTTGTACTGACACCCACCCCTTTGCTGGGACGCCAGGAAAGCCTCAATCTCACAAGGAAATGGGCCCAATGTCTCGTGCTGGGAGACCACAGCAACTAGTGGTTCAGTCTCTCTCCCCTAGAATAGCCTTGCTTCCAGGCCTTGGGCACTAGCCTCGAAGCCATTTTAGGGTCCAGGAGCCTCAAACTTCTCATCTCCCACCTCTCTCCTTGAGACCTACTGTCTTCTTGTTCTGAAGTTTTTCTGAAACAGCTAACCACTTCACCATTTATGGGTTCTCAAGAAGGGGGAAATACACTGACAGTTTTCCCTTCTAATGCTGAGCTCTTCATCCCCTGGAGAAAAGAGGAGGCTGCCGGGGTTGAAGGGTGCTCAGTTAGGCTTGGAGTGGGCCTCGTCAACCTCTGCAAATGGCTGTGCAGCATCCTGCCCACCAGGCCACAGGCAGGGCCTCCATTCTTACCCACTCTGGCCTGGCCCCTCTGCCCACCCACCAGGCAGCCCTTGCCTTTCCCTCCTTGCTCCCCAGCTGCTCCCACAGCCAAGAACACCCTCCCCGCATAATGTCACTGTCGTTTTTCTTGTCTGTCCTTTTTGGTGCTGGAGGAGCAAGCTAGAAGGAAAAGGGAAGAGCTCCCACCCGTGATTCTCCTCAGCAGGTCCCAGCCCCTTCTGCACATGGGCCTGGTGCGCCTCTCACCTCCTTCCAGCAGCCCCTCCACACTCAGCTGTATGCAGTTGCCCAACCTTTCTGTCCTATCTCCCCCAAGGGCAATTGCATCTTATCTGGGTCATGCTCTAGTTTGGCTTAAACCAAAGCAAAGCAGCGGGCACTTCAGGCATCAGACACCTGGATGAGAGAAGAACTGTCTCTGTGTATCCCCTACAGACACCGGTCACCTCCTAAAGGTCATTCCACAGGGCAGAATGGGCTACTCAAGCTGGTTCTCTCCCCAGGGGCAGTTTTTCTTTGGTGCTGCAAAGAAATGTGATCCCATAGCAGAAAGGTCCCTGAGGGAATTCAGTGTTAGAACTGCAATCTCCTTGTCACAGAGAGAACAGTTTTGTGGAAAAGACCCTCCAGTCACTTGGGAACACAGAGCTGCTCAGCCAGGGCCCACTGAGCCTAATCATTGCTAGAAATTTCCACAGCTGCTCCCCAGGTCCCAGCATCACCTCCTCACCCCAATGCTGATGTTGATGGAGAGCTCCTCAGTGCATCCGGGCACTGGAAAGGATTTAGAGACAAGATGTTTTAAGGACTACATATTTCTTGAGTCTTTTTTTATTTCTGTCTCTTTGGGAAAAGTAGATGGCATAGTTGTAGTTTGCCAGTATTTAGAAACTAAACACCAGCATTGTCCCCAACCTCTAGGCCCTGGACTTGAGGAATCTCAGACCAGACCTCCCTCCAAGCTTCAGGGTTCCCTAGAGTGAGGGGCCCCAGACCTGCCTGAACTCAGGGTCCCTGGTCTACACACTCTACCCCCTGAGGAGGAACCTCCAGATTCAGACATCTCTGGGTGTTCTAGATCCCACTGCCCTGAGGTAACCTTAGTCCAGAGTTAGGTACCCTCAGGCAAGGACAGACCTCTAACCCCAGGGAGCAGCGAAGGCCTGGTGAGAGAACTGTGATAGGAGCCATTGAAGGGTTAGAGCTAGAAGGATCTGCTCCCCCACAAAGTGAAAGAAAACCCCTCTCTGCCCTCTTCTCTATCAATGATAATAAGGAAATTCTAATGTTGGCCGAGTTATTGCTATGTAGAGGCATTTAATCCTCATAACAACCCTCAGAGTGAAGTACTATTACCTGCATTTTGCAGGTGAAATTGAGGCAGGGAGGCTAAGTAACTGGCCCCACCTTGCACATTGCCACCTTGCAAGAGGCAGATCTAGGCTTTGAACTTGGAGACTCTGGCCCCAGAGCCCACATTTTTAATTGCTCATGTGCATACAACCTCTCGTCTAAGTAAAGAGAAATGAGGTTGGCCAGGCTGGGGCCCAGTGGTAAAGGGCTTAGGATTGTTGCACTTTTTTCAGCGGGCAATAGGAAGCAACAGAATCTAAGACTGGGAGTGACTAAGAGAAGTTCTCCTGTTGCAGGTGAACAGGCTGCCCTTGGTCAGCCTCTCCTTCTGAGCCAACCTACAAGGCCCCTGGAAAGCCCAGAGGAACCTGGGAGGTGGTCTGGGTAATCCAGACTCCCCCAAATCCTACATCCTCTGGTTAACCCAGGTCTCAGAGTCTCTTCCCTCTGTATTCAATCCTCAAGAGAATTTGCTACCCCAATAGCACAGACTCCAGGGACAGCCTGGTGGGATTCAAAAGCAGAAGCCAGGGACAGAGGGATATGGTGGGTCTCAAATGCAAAAGAAGGATGGCTCATAGACGAGTAAGACCGGGGCTGGGGAGGGAAAAGCCCATCTACCCTTCACTCACCCAACACCTGTTTATGTGGGTGCCAGGCACAGTGCTGGGTAGCAGGAACTCATCAGGGAACCAGACAGATGTGGACCTTGCCCTGAAGGACCCCATTTTACATCTACATTTTAGTAAGGAAAAACAGGCAATAAACAAGTACAGTTGAGTCTCATTCAGGATGGTTCTGTTCTATAGTCTCCATGAACACTGAGTTAGTGAACACTGGACCATTGCTCACAGAGGAAGTGCAAGTGTATTTCACATAGAGACACAAACATGGGCAGAGCTGTGAAGCATTTGAGTCATCTGATGTGCACATTCCCAGCTGAGGCTGAACAAGGTGACTGTCTCCCAGAGGATGGGGACAGGAGGGCAGGGCACTGTGGCGCAGAAGCCTCAGTTCTGGGGCCAGGTGGAATTTACCAGGATGGGTTGCTTTTAGTATTTAAGATTACCTGTGCAAGACAGAGAGATGCATATATTTCTCCTAAGAACAACAGGCTCAGTATTCACTACATGCTCAAGGTGACCTTATAGAACCTAGCTACATATCACAAATAATAAGAATCAACTGTATGTTTTAGTAAATTATATGGAGGAAACTAACAAGGGGTGAAGATGGAGAGTGATATAGGGAACCAAGGGGGCTGGTCAGGCCAGGGTCTCTCTGAGTAAGTGACACTTAAGCTGAGACCTAAAGGATAAGCAGGAGCCAGCCGTGCAAAGCAGGTTGGGAAGTCTGTTCCAGGCAAAAGAAACAACATGGAAGAGCCCTGAGGAGGTGAAGAGCACGCAGCCCCTGGGACTGAAAGGAGAGAGTGGGAGTGAGAGGCCGGGGCACAAAACAAGGCTGCAGTCCCACACACGAGGGCTAAAGGGCCACACCTTGTCTTGGGCTTGCCATTCTGGTTGGAACTTCTCCCACCTGCCAATACCTGTGGGAGCCTGTGACTTGTTTGTGGGCAAAGGTTGAAACAAGGGAGAGAAAGAGAGGGAGGGAGCAGGCCTGTGTCACCCCTCACCCCAGGGCCAAGTGCCCTGACTGCCTGATGGGACTTCTTGATCTAGGTTGAGCCTGAGCCAAAACTTGGGCTACTACTTTGCCAAAGGCAAACCCCAGAAGGCCTGGAATTGGTGGAACCTGGACCTCCATGTCCACGCACCCCCTGTCCAGTCTATCTCCTTAAATATCAACCAGTACATCAAGATACAAATCAGGAGCCAAGATAAGATCATCTTCTGCTTCACCCACCAAACAAAGCATATTTGCTTAAACCTGGGCACCAAGTACAAGGTAAGGTCTCAACTCCCTCTACCTCTGCCCACTTGCACGCAGGCCACAGCTGTCTTGGACGGGTCCATGCCACGGGTCCCCGGCCATGCATGACTCCAACCCATAGGAACACAAGGCCACAATATGAACATGCATTATCTTGTCTGACACTCACTACAATCCTGTCAGATGGCAGGGACAGAAACAAAAGAGAAATGTGTGTTCCCAGCCTTACTGTTAGTGTCCTCTTCTCTCCTCCCAAATGTGTTCTTCTCAAAACAAATGACCGCCTGGAAGTTCAAGGCTCCCTGCCTAGGCCCAGCAGGAAGTCACAAAGGACTGTTAGTTTCCTCAGGCTGCTGTGATAAATTACCACAAACTGGGGGGCTTAAAACAACAGAAGTTTATTCTCTCACAGTTCTGGAGGCTAGAAGTTTAAAATCAAGGTGCCAGCAGGGCCACGTTCCCCCAAAAGGCTCTAAGGGAGAATCCTTCCTTGTCTCTCCCAGCTCCCCGTGGTTCCCAGTATCCCTTGGCCTGTGGCAGCCTCACATCAGTCTCTGCCTCTGTCTTCACATGGCCTTCTCTCCGTGTGTCTCTGGGCATTGACCTCCCTCTCCTTTCATAAGGACACCAGACATTGGATTTAGGGCCCACCCCAAGTCTTCATCCAAGGTCTTTAAATACATCTGCAAAGCTCTATTTCCAAACGCGGTTACATTCACAGGTTACTAGGGGGTAGGACTTGGCCGTGTCTTTTGGGGGCCACAATGCAACCCACTACAACTGGCGAGTCTGGACCCTAGAGTTCTCAGTGTGAGAGGGCAAGAAGGTGGGCTGTTGAGACCCTTCCTGAGGACTGGAGTCAAGAAGAGGAATTGGCAGACCTCAGAAGGCCTGGAACTGGTGGAATCTGAACCCCTACATCCACACGCCCTGTACCATCTATCTCCTTAGCTGGCCACTGAGACCCACATAAGACTGTTCCTGTTCCAGCTCCCCTTCCCCGTTCCACAGAAGGCTCTTTACAGACCCACCAGAGAGGCATTTGAGGCCTCTGACAGCCCGACTGCCTAGGGTGACAGATGAACATGTCTCTTGGGAAGTGAGCCAGATGGAGAAGTAGGTTGATGAAGGAAGCAGCCAAACAGCAGACTCAGGCAAAATTAAGCTGTATGAATATTATTTGAAAGGAGAGGAAGGAAAGTGGCAGGTTAGGGTGACCAGCCACCCCAGTTTGCCCAGGACTGAGGGGTTTTCCAGGACATGATACTTCAAGAGCTAAAACTGGGACAGTTCAAGCAGATCCAGACAGCTGGTCACGCTAGGTCCTTGCCTGGGAAGGCCTGCTATTTTACAAGCTAAATAATGAAGTCCCAACCTTCTTACCTACCCTGAGTCTCCCTGAGCAGCCACCTCAGTAAAGAGATGGCACATACTTATAGTCTACCCCAAGTTTTCCATTTGTGCCTGCACGGTGGTGACAAGCTAGGAGTGGCAGCTAGAATAGAGAGGGCATGAGGACCTGGGCCACTGGTCTTCGAATAACAGTGGGATTTCACTGAGAGAGGAGGGTCAGCAAGGAAAATCAATGCCTAAAAGAGTGGGTGAGTGGCTGATGTGGTCAGAGTCTAGTGCCAGTGGAGGGTGGGCCCCAAATGAAAGGAATCAGCACAGATGTGACTTACAGCAGGGTGTTCCCAGGCCAGGCACAGGGCACCCTGAGAACACCAGTCCCTCCACTGCCTGTGGGACACCAGGCAGGCCTCTTGCTCTTTCTGAGCCTGTTGTCATTTATAGTGACAGGATTATTGTAAGACTTCAATAAGACGCTTTATGTGAAAACATTTCATAAGCTGGATACTTCATAGAAATAGAACACATTGGTACGATCCCTTAGTATTCTCCCACCTCCGGGAGACCCTTTGATCTGCCTTCTGAAGGTACAAACCAAGGCAGAACTGAAGTATAGGTGACTTCATCCCAACAAAACCCAGACACGCTCCAGGGAGCCCTAGGTAGAAGTGGGGCTCGTCGGCAAACACTTTGGACAGTCTCCCAGCTGTGGCAGGGTCTTCATGGTAGGGGATCCATGGGGAGAAGAGGATACCCCCAGGAGGGCATAGCGTTTGGACGGCAGGTCTCAGGAGCTGGCACCCTTAGGCTGGGGTGTGGCCACTGGCATAGGCCCAGTGCATGTGTCTGGGAAGCAGCAGAAAGGTTGCCACCGGCAGGGCTAGGAGCAGAGATTTGCCCTGGCGAGTGGAGTTTCCAGGGAAGACTCGGTCCTGGCCACAGGGACCTAATCCTGGGGGGGGAGCATGGTGCTGGGACAGTGTATATCCTCACCAGGCCTTCCGTGAATTCCCACAGTTCATCACCCCAGAGATGCAGAGTGAAATGAAGAACAAAGCACTCCTGGAGGTGGAATTTAGTTCAACGGCTCGGAAGATCCAGGTCCTTCTGAGGAAAATGAGTAGGATCCTGAATTTCCTGACCATCTACGACTTGAAAAACTTCCTAGAGAACAACGAGATCTTGCTGGTGGTGGAAAACATGAGAAAATTATCTTATTTCTCGAAGAAGGCCAGTTGCCCCATTGTCCAGGGCTTCTCCAGCACCCACTGAATGTCTCCGGAAGGTGATGTCGTCAGGAGTGCCAAGGAAAACCCCAAAGTCTTGTTTTTGCCTTTTGAGATTTGTTTTGTAATTTGGGACCTGTCACAACAACTTGGTTTGACAAGAAAAGTCTTTGGGGTCCTGATGGAATCTGTGGCTGGGGACAGAAAAGACTCAAGAACCGGCCTGAACCTGACAGCGTTAGGGCAGGCTGTCTAGTAGGCAATACACGTCCACACCTGTCCTGCTTGCTCCTTCTGGTCACTTGAGTGCAGAAGTTCTTCTGCAACCTTCCTGTACTTGGGTTGACTCAGGACATAGATTGTCTCAAAGTCTAGCTCTGCCAAGTGTTGATCGTGTGACCTTGGGCAAGTAGCTTTATGCCTCAGATTCTTCATCTATAAAATGGGTCTAAATATAGTAGCTCTCACTAATCCTGACCTCATCACAAACAACCCCTCCCCCACCTCCACCAGGGCAGAGGAAAACCCAGACAGCAAACCAACACCAGCCTGCAGCAGGTCCTCCAAACCAGGAGCTAACTGAAGCCCAAAAGGATCCACACTAAACCCCCTACCAATAGCTGGGGCTCTTCTGGTTACTAGTTATAGTCACCAACTAGGGTAGGTAAAGCAAAATGGGAACTGTGTAATCTGGATGGGAGACGCAATGGGTGTCTGAAAGGACAAGCGTGCAGGGCCTCCAAAGACAGGGCAACTTTCCTCATCTCGGTGACTCTCATCTTATTCTGAAGACACATTTTCTATGCACCTCAGTTAACATGAGTTGGTCTCCTGATCTCTCTCTCAAAACACCCCATGGTCTTGGATTGGTGTGATCAGGTGCAATCCAGGGTGATAAGGGAGGTGGGTTATGTCTTGTACACAAGGCTCCTCATTGATGCCTGAGCGTGGGGAGGGGTGGCAGTTTCTAGAACAGGGGACTCAGGAGCTGGGCAGTGTGTCTTTTAAATCCCTGACCACAGCAAACTTCCCAGGGTGATCTCAGCTGCAGCCTAAACCAACACAGGAAACCCCTCCTCGCAGTCAGCCATTCCCTGCCATGAACAGTAACAGCCAAGCCCCACCTCTGTGCCCTGCTCTCCTGACCTCGCACTGCCTGCCTCCATGTCTCGTCATCACCAGACATGAAGCTGCGCAGCTGAGCTGGGAGTAGGGTGCAAGGGCCAGCAGGCATTACAGACACATCCGCTACTTGACTCGCACCTTGTTGGTGAATAGTATCATCAGCTAAAACTAGAGTTACTACCATAAGTGATACAGACGGCCACTGTAGAAGTGTAGCTTTGCAGGCCACCCCCAACATGTTCGTGTGCCTTGTCAGTGCTGTCCTTCCACTCGGTAGGCAGAGAAGCCTCTTTCCTCACTGGGCACTAGAGACAAAGCACTGGAGTCGCACCGGGCAACAAGCAAGTCCTTCCAAGCTTGCAGCCATGTCTCCATGCCAGCCCAGATGTTTCTGCTGGGACTGAAGGCATGGACTTGAAGGCATGAGCACCCTGAAGTCAGACAGCCCTGGTTTGCAGTCTTAGAACCACTCTTTGCTGGCTGTGGGACATTGGGCAAGGTAGTGAGCCCCTCTATGACTCCGTTGCTTGTCTGAAATAGGAGGAATTATGAAGATTAAAGGAAAAGGCACCGGTAAAACACTAGTGCTTAATAGATGTGGCTCTTAATGTTATCAACCAGTCCCTCTCCTTAGTCGTCTTCCTCTCACAAAACTGAACACAGGATTCCATTTGTACAGAGGCTGTAAACAGCCTCACAGAGGCATTTTGTTTGCTCAGTCCCATTTTAGAATATTTTGTTGCCAACATTATGATGGGAGATTTCCAGCCGCTCTTGTAACTGCTGCCCTGTGCCAGTGTTATCAAAGGCTGGAACCCCAGAAACTGTCTCAGTTCTGGACGCAGAAGTCCACAATCATGGGCTTCCTTCTGAAGGTGCAAGGAAAGGATGTGTTGTTCCAGGCCTTCCTCCCAGCTTCTGGTAGTCTCTTGACTCGTGGCAGCATAAGTATGATCTTCACATGAAGTTCTCCCTGTGTGTCTTTGTCAAATTTTCCCTTTTTATATGGACACCAATCATAAAGGATGAGAGGCCCACCCTACTCCAGTGTGCCTCGTCTTCACTAGTAATTACATCTGCAACAACCCTATTTCCAATTAAGGTCACAGTCTGTGGTGCTGTGGGTTAGAACCGCAACATATGAAGTTAGGGGATACAATTCAACCCTAACACCCTGTCTGCCTCATACCCCAGCCCCTCCCAGGCCCTCAACTTCCTTAGGGGACAAATTCTCTCACTATTTTATCTTTAGTGGCTTGGCAGGAAAAGGTGCTTCTCCTACAAATGGAAATGAACTAAGTTGGGCTGTTTATCAATACTAACCTGCTCAGCTACACACAAGGGTTTCCTGATGGGTATCTTCATCAGTGAATGCCCCAGGGCAAATGGAGTCTCATCCAGTGCCTACAGAATTACTAATTAATTCAGTAATGAATTGTGCCATGCAATAAATATACACTGTGCTGAAACTCCAAAGAGAGAACAGGTTGTCTGCCCTCAGGGGGATCACAGAGTGGAGATCAGAAACACAAGCAACAGCAAAAGGTGAAATTATTGCTTTGTGAAGGAGCACAGTGGAAGCAGAAGAGTTACCTGGGGGAGAGGGCAGGGGTCACAGAAAGCCTCTCTGAAGACATGGCCTTTGAGCCAGAGCTAAAGAATGATAAGGAGTGGGGGTGGGACATGCTGGGAGTCCCTAGGAGAGGCAAGGGTCTATGCAGAAACACACACAGAAAGCATTTAGGGCAGACACAAAAGTTAGGGTATTTGGAGACATGTTGGAAAGCATCTTCTTCTGGCTGCACAACCCCAGGCCCCCTTCCTTTATGGGGAAAAACAACATGAGTATTTATTCGTGGGCAGCAGTGCCCACTTGCCAGGACAGAAACTAAAGAAGGCTGTATCAGTCAGGGGCCAGTCAGGACACAGAAACCACATCAGTAATTTCAACAGGGAAAATGTAACAAAATTTAGCAAGTTAATACTAAAAGGGAACTTAAAGGGAACACTAGAAGAACAAATGAAAAGCAGTGTTCTCCCTCCCTCCTTACCTCTCTAGAATGTACCCAAGAAGGGAACTAAGAACATGAAAAAGCTAGATTCATGCCTTGCTGGGAAGATGTGACTGCAGCCCCTGGCTGGTGGGGAAGTTCACAGGGTGCCAGGGATCTGGAGCCGGTGCCCAGGATGTGGCCACAAGGTTGTAGAAGCTGCTTCACAAAAAGCTTTCTGCCAGGGTGCCAGGAAAACTCACTAGAGAATGTATACCACCAGACCTCCCATACTCTGCTGACAGCCCAAATAGAGGGAAAAACAGACACAACAGAAAGAGATCCCTGCCCCCTATGCCTCGCAGTGTACCTCCAGCACCCAACAAAGCCTAATATTGCACCAGCTGGCAGAGATGTGTTCAGGTCCCAGCTCCAGAATCTCAAAGCAAGGCAAAAAGGGTGGATTTGGAGCAGATAGGCAATAAACCAAAACTTGGCCAAGATGAAAGCAGTTGACTGATGTCCACTGTCCAGGACTCTGCCACAGCAGTGAAGACTGGACCAACCCTTTCTGCTTTGAAAAAAAAAAAAAGCATCTGCGATGTTTCCTTTTCTTACCCCTCTGCTCTTCCAGCACCAGTCTGTTCCTCAAGCCCTCATTTCCTTCCAATAAAGCCATTCCTGCTCATATTAGAAATTATGTCCTCTGTTGCTTGCACTCAAGGACTCTGACAGACACAGAGGATGAGTAGTGAGTGGACACAGATGGGCAGGGGCTGATTGAGACAGCCTCATGTGCCATAGGAGTTAAAGTTTTATATTCTGGAGAAAGAGGAGGAAGAGAATTAATAAGACTCGGCTCTTGTAGTAAAGATATTTCAATATTCCAAACAAGGATATTGAAAACAAGGGCCTTGGTGAGGGCAATTGCATTGGAAATAGAGAAGGGGAGGGGATAAAGGGCTATGTAAGATAGAAAATAGGCAGGACTTGGTAGCAATGGAGTGGGGTAGGGAAGGCTACATGACTTGGGCAACAGAGTGGATTCTTTCATTCATTCAACAAATACTTACTGAGCACCTACTAAAGGCACTGTTCTAGGTGCTAGGTATACAGCAATAAATAAAACAGCTCCCATCCATGCAGTTTACAATCTGGGTTGGGAAAGACAGACAAAAAAACAAATAAGCAAAATATCTCATGTGCTGTCTGAAGACAAGTAAGCCAGGTAAGGGGAATAAAGTCTAGGAATTGGGAGTCCCTAAAGTATATGTACAGCAGGGTTTGCACTGGCAAAGTATTTGTTGTGGGAGGCTGTCCTGTGCACTGTAAGATATTTAGCAGTTGTAGTTGACATCTACCAAGTAGGAGCCAGTAATTTCCCCACATACATCAGCCATGGAAACTAAAAACGTCTTCAAACAATGCCAAATGGATTAACCTGAGATACCAAGATGGTGGTAGTTTGAGTGGAAGCTACATTGATACTCTCCCAGGACCAAACTGGAATTACAACTAAAATATAGAAAAACCAGCCTGAATAATCAACTGAAGACTAGTTGGACAGCACCCTCATAACCAAGGACAAAAAACGTAGACCGCAAAGAAACTGGTAGGAAGTGCAAAGGCGCGAAAGGGCTGGCTGGGCTCCCACAGCAACTGAAGGTCTGGGAGGATATCTCAGCTGTGGGGGGGTTCCCACTGAGAATTCTGGGGTCTAAACCCCAAGCTGGGCACCCCAGCCCAGAGCACCAGAACTAAGAAAGGTGCCCACATAATATCTGGCTGTGAAAAGCAGCCAGGTTTCTGTCTGCCAGGAAGAGACGACTAGAAAAGCAGTCAGCCTCTTAAAGGGCCAACACACAAAATTTCATGTGTAGCCACTCACCTTGGATTCTGGAGGAGGGAGGGCAGAGTGGACTACAGCTGT